AGTGGATGCAGACTTGGCGGGGCAGGCGGCGCCGGGCGGGCGCACCTGCGGGAGGGAGGGAGGGAGCGAGGGAGCCGCTGCCGCCGGCGGCGCGGACAGGGCAGCACCGGGCCGGGCGCTCCGCTGCGCTCCGCCGGGCTGGGGCCGGCTGCCGGGGAGCTGCTGCTAATGGAGAGGCTGCTGATAGAGAGGTGGTGATTTTAACAGAAAGAAAATAGATCGGCTGCTTGCCTGCACCGTTTTCATAAGATGCAGTGACAAACAGGAGATCAAATTTTTATTTTTTTTTTCTTTAAAGGTGTAAGATACCGAGATGCTGAACGCATATCTTTTCCTCTAGTGATGGCTTGGAGTTAAAAACCCACGTAGATCTTGATATGCAACCTAAATTTGGCATCAGGAAATGGGAAATTGCATCTTTAAGCAGAGTACAATCAAAAATGAATTACAATAAATCCTATATAATTGCATAGGTCATTCTCTTTAATGAGATTTTATTAACCTGACTGTCAAGCTTTTGAGTCAGGCAGATATTTTATCTTCTTCAACTGATAAAAGTGTCAGCTATAAACCACCATATAAATATTCATAAATCTACACATCTGTGGCAGCCTATCAGCATCATTCTTTTGGACATTAAAAGCATTCTAATTACTTTCTGTCTAGCAGAGCTGAAATGCTGCCTGTTATAGTATGTGCTTGGCAGGCATGATTGCTTTTGTTTGCCATCACAAATAGCAGCATCCTATTTTATATACTGATGGTCCAGAATATATTCAGGGTTTGACTGAGCAGGATGAATATTATGAAGCACCATCTGGTTTTGATAACATCGGGTATATTAACTCATCTGTTAATTTTTGACACATCATTGATTTATTTATTTAGAAAAATGGGATCCTGTTTTGGTATGTTGCTGTTTGCCTTTGTAACAAATGTGATGACATTTCCTTACTAAACAGGGAGATAGTCTAGTTAATAGGATAGATGGCTATGTTTCAATGCCTGGTTTTGCTTAGAACTAGCCTTGTACTGGATGAATTTAGCATGTGTTGTTACAAATAATTCAAGTACTTTACCAAAAAGTTTAACTCTTGAATAGGTTAGGCAGAGAATTCACATCTCTGGGGCGTAGTTCTGTGATCCATGGCAGAAGGTCATCTTTCTTTATGAAATTGCTTCTTATATGAAATGCCCAAATGGTGGTATTTAAGTATTCTTTGTGGCCCACAATCAAAACACTCATGATAAATGTGACACCTACATTTCTTTACAGAAGCAGATTACACCGTGGAAAACATTCACCTGTCTGGTAGATGATATATGAGGCCATATTCACTGCAAAGCCCTCTGGGCTCCGATGAGCAGAAGTTTGGACTTTCTTTTTCCTGAGTACATTGTGCTAACCAGGCACTAGAGCAGGCTTCAGAGCTTGTCTTTGATTTAGTTCTATGCCAAAGAGAGTGAAGGAGCTGCCATTCGTGCACTAAAGTTCTTTGAAATCTCTGTCCCTTCAACTGCACATTCAGGCTTTACTTTAGGTTCCTATATGGGTCCCAGCTTACCCTTTGCTCAGGTAAGTGCCATGAGAAACAGAACAGGAGAAAACAAACCAGAAACTTGCTACAGTGTGTACAAGTAGTGTTTTGCACAAGTTGTTACCAGAGGTGGCCCGCAAAGTTGGAAAGGGGACTGGAGCAGGTCCCTATGAAGACAGGCAGAGAAAGTGGGGGCTGTTCAGCCTGGGTAAGAGAGGCTGCGTGGAGCCCTCATAGCAACCTTCCAGTATCTTAGGAGGGCCCACAAGGAAGTTTTAGAGGGACTCTTCGAGAGGAACTGAAGCAAAAGGACAAGGAGTAATAGGTTCAGACTGAAAGATGGGCAATTTAGGTTAGATATGTGGAAAAACATTTTTACTGTGAGGCTGATGAGGCACTGGAACAGGGTGCCCAGAGAAGCTGTGGATACTCCATCCCTGGCTTAAGGCCAGGTTGGATGGGTCCTTGAGTAACCTGGTCTAGTGGAAGGTGTCTCTGCCCACAGCAAGGGGTGTGGAACTAGATGAACTTTAAGGTCCCTTCAAAGCCAAAACATTCTGTGATTCTGTAAAGCAATAGGCAAGGCTTTATCTCCTGGGTATTTTAATCCCAAAGGTAGGGATGCTTTGCTGAGCTGTGTGCCCACCCTTCCTGCTTGGTGATGAAGTAACACCACGCAGCTTGTTCTTGAGAGCTGTAGCACCACTAGGATGAGCAGGAAGTTGGGACCCCAGTGCTGTATGTATGTGAAGAAGTCCCATTGTCCAGAGGCTTGAAATCCTTTTAACTGATGTGTGAACCAATTTAATAGCACAGGCCACCTCTGGGGAAGCAGAGTTGGGGTTTTGGCCCTGGAGAGTGAGAGCATGTTGTGCATGCACAGTCACCCTGTACTTTGGCCAGCACCTGTGGGGTCTCTGGGCTCCCCACAGCAGCAAGAGGAACAGGCCCAGAACACCTCTTAGGCACAGGTTTGTCTCAAGCAGTGGATGTTGACCCAAGAGGGACAGATCACCCCCTTAGTAGGTGTCCACCTGCACGTGCATTCTCCACAAGGCAGTCACCATCCATGATGTGTACAGTTTTCCCACTTAGTTTATCCTCAGCACTTGGCAGGTGCTTACTTGAATAAAGGGGTGGAGTGCTGTAGGGCAGTTTTGTAGGGGTACCCACGTCCTAAGTTCAATTTCAGAGATACCCCTCTTTTTGCTGATAACTTTTCACTTGTGCAGGCAACAGTGAGCATATAGCTAGTAAAACACCACTTCTGGGATGCCTAACTCTGTGCCAGCAACTTAAACACTTAATGCAGTTGATTCTTAAACTTCAGGCATGATGTCTCTGGCCCTTTGGGATTCACAGCTTCAAGTTTGCTTTTGAAAGTGGGCACCTCAAACACAGTCATGACTAAAGATGCTTCCATAATTCTACAGCTTTTTCTAATTGTTAGAATGCTTCCCAAGGGTTCCCAGATTTTCCCTCAGTTGCTCTCTAAGAGACCACTCTCACCTCCAGAGTCCAGCAGAATTGCAGGAAAAGGGGCTAGGGAAAGGAAGAAAACCAGGAATTCTCCACCCGGTGCCATGGTGGAGAAAAGTTTAGCTTGAGATCCCATCATGCTGGGAAAGATCCTGCATGAGAAATGTCATCTTACAATGAGAAATGTGAAGCTGCACTGCAACACAATCCTTCTCTTTCCTCTAGAGGTTACTCTGGCTGCTGTTGCTGCTGTGAGCCACACAGGTGGGTTCATTCAAAGCACCAGCAGATACCCATTTTCTTCTGTAAAGTATCAATTCTTTATTAATCTATCCAGATTATTTTCCTGGCATGAAAACTCTGGTAGTATGTGCATTGAACAGTACCATAATCCACCAAAGTCCTTTTCCTTAGGAAAGCATGATATGGCATGCTTTACAGTGCAGCTTAAAATTCAGGGTGGGCTTTCATGGAAAGCAGAGAAAGAGCAGACCTGGTAACACCTGTTAGCTGTGCCAAAAACATGGCATATTTAAAATGGCCAGTTAATAAAGCTCTGTTATGCCCAGACAGAAAAACAGTTTGTTCTGTGGAAAGCAAAGATGAAGATCAGTGTTTTGACCTTTCCTTAGAAATTGTGAGCTCGCATCTGGAAGCAGATCTCTCAGATAAGTACTGAAATGACCAGACATTTGTAGTCGTAATCCAGTGTACTGTCTCAATGATCTTCATGCAAAATGCCCAAGAAAACATTGTGTAGTCATAGGAGGTGTCAAATGCTCTCAATATTGTGACCTAAGCACAGATATTTACAGCAGTGGTCATATCTAAAAACATGACCAAGTCTCTGTGCTTGGATAAAGGCCAGTTTGAGGGGTGCAAGGCTGTAGCCCCAGGATCTCAATTAATCAAAATATTGTAATAAACAAATCAAGAAATACAAATAATCAGGTGAGAGGGCTGAGTCACTGCAAGGTGAAGAGTGAGACGACTGGAATTGCTAAGGAGCCTGAACGTCACAATCTCACTGAAAATTAAATATCAAAGAATACATTCCCTGCAGGGGAGAGTGTATGGTATTCAGACCCACTCAATACTTATAAAGATGACTCTTTAAGCCAGCTGCCCAAGAATACAAAGGAAACTTTGGAAAAGCCACAACCTGAATCGAGATCCACTGAGACCCAACACAATGCTTATTAATAAAGCTGTCTGATCTAAGCATTGAAAAGACCCTTAGGTGTGGGAAAAGCTGAAATTATACCTGCCAAAATTTCCAGACATCTTTTCTGATGCATTAGTTAGTGTAAGTTATCAGACTGAGTTTCAGACATTCACTCTTTCTAAACCCTGTTTTCTGGTGGTTGAATAGCCAAGAACCTCCCCTAGTCCCAGGGTCAATGAGAAAATGATGTAAAGATGAATGCTGTATCTGGGAGTTGGTACCTGATTGGCCATGTGATAGTATCATCTGGTTGCTTGCAGTCTCAGACAATCTGGTTAGGAATACTTATGCTTTTAGCATTTTAATCCTGTTCTCTTAGCACTTTATGGGTCTTAGGCAGCAAGTCCACCTCCAGGCAAATGTCTAGTTAAAGTCGATAGAACTTCTGTAAGACTAAAGACTCAGGGGTCTGAGACATTAGGATTACATGGTTGGTGAGCAAGGTAATAAGGAAAAGGAATATCACAATAAGACTTTAATAAACTGCTTACACTGTTTTAGTCCAGTGCAGTGATTTCACTAGTATCCTACTTTCATAGAAAATACATACATTATATTAAATCAATTAAGAATCATAGATTGGTGTTTATTCAGTAGTAATCACATAAAAACAACTTTTTGTCATTTCTTAAGTGATTAGCCATTGCACAGTGCTTGCATTTCTAATTATAGTCAGTCTGTAAAAGCTGAAATCCCAATTTCTACAATATATGCTAAATGGACAACATTTTTTTTCTCTATCATAAGAAATAACTGCAGTTATCATTCTCATTTAGGGTTGTTCAGACTGTGGCTGTGTGCACCATTACTGGTGTAGAAGTCTCTTCAAAGCAGAACCTACTTCAGCACAGAGACAGATATTTCCAGAATATGTGCTGAGAGCATCCCTCACTGTTGCTGTCCAGCAGTACCCAGAAAAAATGCATTTGTGCATCTCTGGGTTAGCCTTTCAAATGATCCCTGCTTTGTCATGGCTCATTTTTATGTCTTTGAGTATGGGTTGAAGTTAAGAAAAAAACCAGTAATTGCTGTTATTGTGTCTTTGTAATAGATCTGATACTGAAGATTAAATCAATAATGTCATTTCTGTATAAAATTTCAGTTATATTTTAAACCATTATCACAGTGAATATGCCTAATGCATTACATTTTAAAACGAAACTAATAATTAATTTAATCTTTACTGATATTAATATGTATTTTGGCATTCTTCAAAACTAATAATTTGAATGTCAGGTTACTTTTTGCTAGTTTTAGAATAAGCCATGATATTGGAGTAACATCTCTTATAAAAGTCTAATCCCTTTTCAGTTGTTTCATTCCTATCTTGTCCCCATGCAACAAGGATATGCAAAGAATACGTAACTGTTTTGTGAACAGAGACAATAATGATTAAAATACAAACAGTATAGATGACTTCAGGACTGGAATCAGATTATAGGATTAAAATGAATGAAAAAACCATTCTGTAGTAGGATTGCAAAGTTACAGTCAATATCATCCTGTAAGAATTTTAAAGGGGAAATGTGGAAAGAAGTAAAACAAAGAAAGCACATCTTGTGGTTGTTGGTGATGCTTGAATTTCCTGATTTCCTTTTGGTTTATCAGTTCTCAGCTGGAAAGCTGCCATGTCACCAGGATTCTGTTCTTTTCATTCATATTATATCTCCTGTGTTGTTTGCAGTTGCATTGATTGTAAGGGTTAAAGACAGCTGGCCTTAGGTTAGTGTAGGAAGAGAGAAGGAGAGGCAGTGGGTGATGGACCTGGCACCTCATTGTCACCCACTTGCAAAAGGAGCAGCAGTGCCTGTGCATTTCTGCCCTTTGGAGCTGTAGTGTGGACAGAGGGTATTGCACAAAGCTTTGGGTCTAAGATGTGTTGTAGAAATCTGCCTTCATGAGTTTGAACCTGTCTCCAGGAGCTTGATAATGGCTCATAAACACAGGAGGCTGATGGTGAGGATGCTTGCCATGGTCCTAAGGCCACTCCAGTCCTTCCCATGGAGCCCCTGGACAATCCCTGCATGGCCCCAGGCAGCCTCATGACCCAGCACTGGGCTTGGGCTTGCTCTGCCCACCTCAGGTTCCTGGTTTTTTCAGTTCAGTCCTCAGGACTTCAGTTAAGAGTTTTGTGCTGGGGAGGTCTCTGGCTGCATTTGAGACTGAGATTATTTGTATGCTGCTTCAGCCCTGCCCTCTTTGCAGAGATCTGGAGGATGGTACAAATGCAAATCAGTGTTGTTTCAAATATTCTTCAGGTCAGCTGTACTGACCTCAGTGTAAAGTAGATTTTCCACCAGACAGTGGAGAATCTTGAAGAAGTGCTGTGAAAACTGCCACTCCTTAAAGGCCTGAATTCTGAACATTTCTGTTTTTTGTGTATTATGAATGTGATGAGGCTACTGATGAAGTTTCGGTAAATGAAGTTCTGGGGTGCTCAGTCTCATGTATCTGTAGCAGGTTGCCTTTTCAAAAGTAAATGCGTTTGTCACTTTCTAAAAGTCAAGCCTGCCTGAGAAGTGCTCTCCAAAATTGGCAGTGCTTTAACCTACCAGCCTTTTTTTTCTTTTGCAAAATGTTAGTTACATCTGTTTAGATACCTAGAAGAACTTAGCTTTGAATAAGGTAAAAATTATTTAAAAGGCACTATTTTTACTGGGGAGTCTAACAGGTCATATCATAAATATCTTGGTCATTTTCTATCTGGGTCCAGGAAGTATTGTAGCAGCTTGAGCTGTACATGTGGACGTTGCAGAAATGAGCCATCCTACTCTGTAGGTTTAGCTTGTAGCTGCTATTGCTCCCTGAGACGTGGCACCTCCTGTTATGAGAGGAAAGCAGACTAGGTGCAGCACGGCATCCCTATCCTAATTCCAGAGCTGAGCTGCTGTCTCCAGAAACTGCTGCACAGTCCTATGTAGAGTTTCCTGATTGTGTGCAGAGCATCTTGAAGAACTCCACTCTCCACTGTGCCATGCTGGCCTGCCTGCAATCCTGCAGGACGCCTTTGCTTGATTTAAGAAGAGGGGTTTGTGCTTGTCACTCTGAGTAGTTCCTGGACATATGTAGAACCTAGAGTAAATGGAACAGAAGCAAAGTTCATTGAATTGAGGGTCAGTTGTGTGGAATGTCCTGTGTCCAATGTCAAACAAGTGCATCAAAGACAAAAAGAAGAAATAACAAAGCTTGGAAGCCTTGTTGGAGAGGAACTGGGCATAGGACAAAGGTATAGTGCAAAGTGCTACAAATATGTACAGTTAATGCCCTTCAGCAGCTTGAAATAGGCTTTCAGGGCAGTACTTACTTGAACTTGTAGCAAATTGGATGTAATTTGTATTTTCTTCCCCGTTTTCCTAACTTAATCCCTCTGAAAGAAGATGTCAGTAAGCAGTGTCTATCATCACAATGCATTTCTGATTAACAGCAAGGGCACAAGGGCACTCTCAAAATAGAAACAGAGTCAGGATTGTTTTAAATCACAGTGTTGCAGAAGTATTAAAGCAGAAGCCATAATTTTAATATGTTCAGAAACAAAATGCATGGTACTGTAAACAGTTGTGTACATTCATCTAGCTGCTACTGCCTGGCATAACCTCTTGCATTAGGTTTCTGTGATTCATCTTTTCTTTTGTTGCAGAGAGTCGAATGATTCTGGATGCCTTTGCTCAACAATGCAGCCGGGTTCTAAGTCTCTTAAATTGTGGTGGAAAACTACTGGACAACAATCACTCTCAGTCCATGATTTCTTGTATAAAGCAGGAAAACCCAAATTATAGTGAAAGACAAGAGCAATGTCAGCTCGGGAAAATGGTCCATAGTCAGACGTCAGACATTTTAGACATAGAGATGCAGTATATGCAAAAGAAACAACAAACCTCAGCCTTTCTGAGAGTTTTTACTGATTCCCTTCAGAACTATTTGCTTTCTGGGAGCTTCCCTTCTCAGAACACCTCATCAATAAATGATTTTAGCCATTTGGCAGATGTGGATCCACTTTCAGCCTCTCCAGTGCACACTTTAGGTGGATGGACATCTCCAGCAACATCGGAATCTCATGGTCATCCATCATCTTCTACACTTCCAGAGGAGGAAGAGGAGGAGGAGGAAGAAGGTTACTGCCCTCGGTGTCAAGAGCTAGAGCAGGAGGTAATTTCATTGCAACAAGAGAATGAAGAGCTTCGTAGAAAGTTGGAGAGCATTCCAGGTAAATAATCTCTTGCCATGAAATGTTGCCATTCAGTGATAAAAATAATGTGGGTAATGGTTTATTTCAAGTTCATTTTTGAAGGTTGCAGTCATAATAGTCAAAAACTGGAATTTGTCTCCAGTAATGTTGCCATTCAGTGATAAAAATAATTTGGGTAATGGTTTATTTCAAGTTCCAGTCATTTTTAAAGGTTGCAGTCATAATAGTCAAAAACTGGAAATTGTCTCCAGCCAAAATTCCTATAGGTGTGCCCCGTGGAAAATTACCTGCTGATACTCATCTCTATGAATATTGAGTCCTACACGAGTAAGGTGTGTTCAGGTGGGGATGTACTTGTAATCCCAAATTCCAAATATCAGGTGGTTTGTCTCAGTAACTTCAAACATGCTTTCATAACTCTTTATCTGTCTTGTTCTTTAATTGACATTGCAGCTTATAAACCTAATTCTCTTTTGAGGCTCCTTTTTTTTGGTTACTTAAGGAAACTATTCAAAGTTACATCCACAGTTTTACCTGAAATAATTTTGGCTTTTACCTTGAATGGCTTCTCTTAAATTGCTGCTACCTTAGTGAGAAGCATTACTATGTCTCCTCCCCTTCATTTTCAAATAAATCTGAAAAAAGAAAACCCCAAAAAAACCCCTAACAATAACTTTTCCAGTTTAGCAATACCTAGAAGCCTCTAGGAGAGAGAAAGAAATCAAATAGAAACCCCTTCTGTCAGAAGCTTCTCTTGCTTTTTAAACCTAGGACCTCTCTTTTCAGGTGAGCCAAGATACTTGAAGAGTGTTATGGGATAAGAACAAAGTATCTTGGATCTGTATTTTCTAAACTTTCACCACAGGCAAAAATACACCTCAAATAGTAATACTAAAAGCAAACTGAAATTTAGCAAAGAAAGAAGCATGCAGCATGCTTTGGACATGTATAAACACTAGGGAACTGCACCTTTTTTACCTGAACTCGAGGTGTTTAGGGTAGATCCATGAAAATTTAATTTAACTGATCTCTGAATGGCAGAAAAGCATGTCTAGCACAGCATGAGCTGCAAGAGAGAAAATACTTCAAAGATGCTAACTATGCAGAAAGGAAGAAGGCAGTAACCAACTACTGCCCCAACATGTAGAGGCAGTTGCGAAATCTGAGCAAAATGCAAGCAGTAGTCTTCATAATTCTTGTCTCCAGGTATCAGTGATGGACTGTGTGTTATTTAAATTACATCACATTTTTCTTTTGTGCATTGGTCATAGGGATACTGGCAAATCCCATAAGCAGCATTGTTCGGTGCAAAGAAAACCCAAAATTTAGAGTAACTCCCTCACCTCTCCCAAAAATAGAGAGTTACCATAACTTATGCACTCTCACTGATTGCAGCAGTGGTTAGTACATCATCTGGTACTGCATGACACAGGGAATTGTGTGGACTTCAACTCCTGTGGAGTCCTGCCTTCAGATGTGAGGCCAGAAATGATCCTGTAAGGTCTGCAATCTGACTGACAGCTCTCATTCAGTCACTTGTACTGAACACAGTAATTTTTTTTTACTTTCACTAGTGCATAACATGTATTTGACTCAGGTAGTATCTCAGAAGGCCTCTGGTGAGCAATGGCTGAATCTCTTACCTGACATTTGGTTCCAGTGCTTAATTACCCTGGTGAAAATATGTGCCTTGTTTCCCTGCCTGACTACCTGAAATCAGCTTTTAGCCATTGACTTTTATGCTTTGCTCCACTAAATGAAGTGCTCTATAGGTCTTGGTACTTCTTCTGATTGAAGGTACTTACAGATTGAAAGCTGACTTAATTTCCATTTTAAATAACAAAGCAAACAGTACTGTTTGAAACTCCTCAAATTACTTGAATCCTTCTTTGCAATTTTTTTCTCCCCTTCTGCTAATTTCTTTAAAATCTGGGCACTGGAAATGCATGCAATATGTTCCTGTGAGCTTGATCAAAGGTGAATAGACTCTTCACTTGTACCCATGGTTTCCCTGGTGGGTTGTGCAGCTGAGCTTCTCATTCTGTGCATATTTCTTCCTAAAAGTAAACACTTTGTATTTGTCTGTGTTCATGCACTAAGTGTTCCAGATTGCTCTGACTGTCCCACTTGCCCACTGTTTGCTGATTTGTCAATTTCTGTATCATCCAGAATTTTTCAAATTGTTTTAAATTAACTTTGTGATACTTGTTGGGAACGTAGAATACTTTTGAAGGTGTTGTTAGTCCTTGTTGGGCCTTTCTAGAAATATGTCTATTAATGATGATTCCTGCAATAAGAAATATTTGAGATGTCAATAGCAGGTTCCTAATATATATATGATTTAGTCTGCTGTTGTTGCAATCAACTAACTTTTGCAATCAATTAACTCAGGGTAGTAAGTTACATGCCCTTCAGGAGTCTAGGCATTGTTCAGCCCAACTTTTTCAGGCAAATCTGTATGCTTATCAAAGAATGACCATCAGGTTAGCCTGGCAAAATTGACTTTCCGTAAGACCATTTTGACTGGAATTAATTATATTCATATTCTGTAATTCTTTGTCATTTGAATCCCATTGTGATTGTCTATATTTTGCTAGGATTAATGCTGGGTTAAGCAGCAAGTATTTACCTGGGTCATCACACTTACCCTTCATCTCCCTTTAAAAGTGATAAACATGCATGGTCATAGTCATTTTGCACCCCCCAGGAGTCATGAAACTCCTTGTTAACAGTGTACCAAAGGTAGCAGACAAACATAAAAGATGTGCCAGGAGGTAGGACTTATCTGCCAACAGAAAATCATCATCAGATACATCTGCTCCTTTCTGGTGAGATATCCAAATAGATCTGAAGTGACCCATGTGTTTGCAGAAGTGTTAAGAGCCACAGAAGGTCCCTCAGGTTTTGCCACATGGTAGAACAGAGATCCTCAGGCAATCACACAGCCACCACTGAGCAAAGTTAATCAAAAATCAACTAAAGGCAATATCTAATTATTTTTGTCTCTAGTGTTCATTTTGCTTCTGTGAGCTTCTACTACTGAAAAAGCTGGCAGAAATTTTTCTGTGACTTGAGATGCCCAGCTCTGTATGTAAACAGGAGCTTGCTCTCTGTTACTTCTTTTTTTTTTTTCTTTTTTCCATCAAGATGTTGCATGCCTCAGGAGGGAGACAGAAAGCCCTCTGCAGAGTGTCAGCATTGTCTGCCACCATCTATCACATCAGAGTAATCTCAGAGCACAAACTTTGTTCCCTGCACGTTCATCACCTCGTGCTGGCCATCCGCTGGGCCAGGGAAGGCAGTGAGCATTTGGAGGGGCAGCCAAGGCAGCAGCTATGGGTGTGAGGGTTGCCATACTGTCTCTATCGAGCCACTGAAAGGGCAGGATGTTTTACATAGTGGTTTCTCTTCCCATCTTGGGGGAGCTAGTCCAGAGCTGCTGGATGAGGCTGGCAGGGGATGTGGGGCCATGGCAGTGTGCACCATGCCCTCCCCACCGTCACTGAGGCTCCCACTAGCAACTCTGCCAGCAGAATATAAAAGCAGCAACCCCTCCCTTCTGCTGTATAATATGAATCATTTTATCCTTCTCCTGAAATACTTTGCATTTCTTTTTTTTACTTTCCATATGCAAAAGCCCTTTTAAAATCCATGAGAGTTTGCAATCTAAAAATAGTTGCCGCTATACATCTCTGCCTCAAGCTTGCAAAGCAAGGCTCACAAAGACTACCACGAAAAAGAGTGTTTTCTCTGCAGATGTAAAGGCAATGACACTTTTTTCTTTTTTAACAAATATTACAGAAGACATATTCTCCTGTAGCTTTTGGACACAGAAAATAAGATTTTTCAGTTTTCAGGACTCTACCCTGTTGCTGCAGAACCCTTCAGTTCTGTAGGATCTTTTTGCCTGTAGCCTAGCATCACTCTTTGGCAAATCACCACTGGAGAGAAATGATTACATGGATAAAATGTCCCATGTATTTTGGTTGCTGGATGGGTAGATTTTTTTTTCTCAAAAAAACTCCATTAGATTTGACTGAAACAATACTTATATTTGTATGAAAACTTAATTGTTCCAGCTGTAGAATATATGAAGGAAAACTCATATTTAAGTGCTTGGGGTTTAAAGCAGTGCAACTTCTTTCAACTTGTCCAGTTTTCCCAATATTTATTTTTTTAGGGCAAAATATTAACCAAGAATTTTCAGTTTTCAATTCAACTGAACAGAAGAGAAGCATTTTCATTCAGTGTGTTATCGTGTCTTTTTCTGAAAAATAATTGAAGTTTAGGTAATTCCTGGAAGGAGTTTGGCAAAATTATCCTTGACTTTTTAAGGTTTTGAGATCATTAAGAATAAAACAAAGTAATTTATCCACATGAGAAGAAAAGTGTCTCCTAGTTTCTTTCCTCTGTATACAAATTACTGTGGCTGTGATACTTTCCCAGTAGTGAATCTAAAGACATGTTTGTGGAGCTGCATACAAGACGTGGATTTTAACCATGAGGATATTAAACAGTTCTTCATTATTATCAGCATGATTTTCTCACACTTTTTTTATCTGAAAGGGTGAAAATATTTCCAGGTGATTAAAACAAAGGTCTATAATCATGAGTTAGGGTTCGTCTCCTGTTGCTCCCAGCTTTGCTGTGTGGTTTGGGATAAACCAATCTGAAAGTAGTGAAAAGGTATAATTTAGTAAGTATATGGAGCAGTGTGTGACAAATACAATGATTATTCTTACTTTGTTAGCACAGCAGTAAAAAATACTCCAGCAAATAGCAGAGGGATGGAGAATGAAAACTCCCTCAAATGCTGAGTCCTGGTCACGTATAGAGACTGCATGCATGGTGGCTGGAAGCAGCCAAAGCAAAGTGGGATTTGCAGGCAGAGTTAATATCAATGTAATTGAAAAGTCAGACAAGTTTTCCAGGAGGTTTTGTGTGCCCAAGGCTTGACTCTTCTTCCTGACTATTGGATGATATAATAAAAAATACTACTTTTCCCTACAAATCCTGTC